AACAGGGTCGCCAAACACCGCCGCCACCATGCGTGCGCGCAATGGTCAGCACGCTCCCAGTCAGATTCACGTTGTGCACCACGAGGCACGCGGAGGCGTCGCCAAGGCCGTAGGCGTCGCGGTACGCAACGCGCTTCTCTGCGATCAGCACCGAGTCCACCACAGTGACGCGCGAGCCCGGCGGGTATCGGTTCGCCACCACCACGCCGCCGCCGGAGCGCGACTCAAGCCCGCTGATCAACACATCGGCGCGCTCGCCAGCAGTCGGGTCGGATCGCCACCCGAAAACGTACAGGCTCGCTCCGTCCACAAACGTGCAGTTCGCCAGCGTCACGTTGCGCACGCTCCCCGACATCGACTCCACTTCCACCACGACGTCCGCCGCAAAGGTCACGCCAACGTAGCACACCACCGACGTCCCGAGGCCGGCGTTCAGCTCCACATCCACACGCACGTCGCGCACGCACAAGTCGGCGCCGTCGGTGCTCGGCGGCTCGGGGACAGCGACGGGCAGGCACGCATCGCCGTGGCCGCCCTCCGCACATCTGCAGGCGCAGCCATCACTCGAGGCAATCGTCGTGTACGCGGGGAAGCACGACGCCGCAAGGGCGCATGGATCGCTGCACTTCAGAATGTTGGCATTGTACACGGACGGGATGGCGTAGTTCACCCCCTCCTCGCCGTTCACAGTGTTGCACGCAGCCACAATCGCTCCGTTTGTGAGATCGCTGGACCCGGTGGATATCCGCAGAACTGTCGGCGTGCCAGCGCTGGACATGAATCGGTTGCCGGACACAGAGACCGTGGAGTCACGGAGATTCACCGTAGGGTTAAAAAAAGCAAAGGCTTCCAATGGTGATACGCGGCAGAGGTTGCCACTCAACTGCAGCCAGGAGTTGTAGTAAATATGGAAAATGGATCTCGATATAAAGACAGCCGAACTTCCCTGCATGTCGTTGCCCTGAAACACAACCGCTGACCAAGACTCCACAATTAAGGCCCAGAGAAACAGCATGAAGTGCCTTAACCCCCCCAGAACAACGTTGCCTCGGACCACCACGGCAGAGTTGTTCAGTACACTCAGCGACAAGGACTGGCTAGGTCCTTCAAGATGTATCAGCGTGCCGTTACCGCCAGCCATATGAAACGTATTGCCCACCACCGCAAACACGGAGTGCCACATCACCCTCAGCGCAGATCTGAAAACGTAAATGGCGCTCGACGATGCCCTCACGCTCTGAAACACATTGCCACTGAGCACCACCGCGGAGTCGTTGCTGATCACCAGCTCATTCATCGAGACACACGACGGCCTTCTAAGACCTAAACCCAACCGAGGGACCAGCCTCGTGACCGCAAAGCGGTTCCCGCTGATCGTGATATTCGTGCGCGGTGGAAACACACCCTCCGGGCTAAGCAGCGCGTCAATAAATGTATTGCCGGTGACGACGATGTTCAGCGACCCCACAGCGGCGTACGCGTTGCCCAACAGCAACAGAACGGCGCCATCCCTCCACGTGCATCCATCGAACGTGGCATTCGCCAAGTCGCCCGTCATCGCCCCAACCAGCACCGTCAGAATCATGCGGCCCCCGCTGAACGTCACATTGCGGTAGCACAGCCACGACAGCCCGCTGCCCACAGCCTGCGCCACCTCGGGGTACACCATGTCGCTGATGCACTCACCAACCGGCGGAGGTGGCGGCACCGGCGGCGTGGGCGGCACTGGCGGCGGCGGCGGCGGGCCAGCAGGCACAGGCGCCGGGACGCACACATCGCCGTGCCCTCCAGCAGCGCACTGGCACTTGCAGTCAACGACCGCCGTCGTCAGCGGAGCAAAGCAGTCTCCCTCCTTCGTGCAATTCCCGCATGCGGCAACCGTCGTCACGTCGGTGATGCCGTGGAGCTCCAGTTCTGCCGCCGTCGTCACCACCCGTCCTGCGACCGTCAGGCACCCAGCAACGAACCGGTAGCCGGCGTCAACCAGAGATAGCAAAGGCACCGACAAACCAGTTGAGCCCATCTTGCAGCCCGTCAGCGTCAACACACTGCTGCTGTCGACACTCACAAAAGCGGAGCCACTGTCGTAGAGCATCGCACCCACTCCCACGTCGTTGTCTCGCCAATCCAGCCAGCTTGACCGCTCAACGATCCATAACTTTAGTGAATAGATGGCATAGGACACGGAACCGCTGTTCCCCACCACGCGCAACACGCTGTGATCCGACACGCTGAAGCCACGGTACTGGTACAGCAGGCTTCTCCCGGAAGCCATTGTGTTGTTGAGCAGCACAAAAACAGAGTGATCGCTGGCACTGAGGATATTCAAGTAAAACAGGTGTGTGTATCCATCGAAGCTGCAGTACCGCGTGTACAGTGAGCTGCCACCCACCAGTGTCAGCATCCCTGTGGAGTGCAAACCGAACGCACCATACCACATTGCATGTGCCTTGACGTTGCTGACCAACAGCGAGGACGCATTCAATACAACGTCGTGCAGCATTACTACGCTCAGCATTTTATTCACGGTGTCCGGCAAATAGACCGCGGAAGACTGCACCGCGTCAACCTCCGTGACGGCAATGTCGCAGTGCTGCGGAAGGGCAAGTGCAAAAGCAACAACGGAGGAACGCATCACCGCCTGGCTCACGCGGATCAGGAGGCCGGATGACTCGGCCGACTCAGCACCACCAACAAAACGCAGCGAAGCACCCTCACGGAATGTGCACCCGGTGAGCGTGATGTTGATGGGGAGATGCAGCGGCATACTGTCGAGGAAAAACGTCAGCACAGCACCCACGCCGCTGAATGTCACACCCATGTAGCAGTGGTGCGTCTTCCACATGTTCAGCGTAATTTTCGTCAGCGTCTCGTTCACCACACAGCTCGTGTCACCGTCAACGGCTCTCTCCGCTACGGGCGGTACAACCGTGTCGGGCACCTCGAAGGGAAGACACGACGCGCCATGCCATCCGTCCTTGCAGCTGCACGAGCACGAGCCGCGGTCCACCGACTCCGTCCCGGGCATGTAGCACGCCGCGTCATCGTTGCATGTGTCACACCTGAACACCACCACCTCCTCCGGAAACACACCGGCGTACGACACCTCCTCATCGCCCTGCAGGTTGCAACCCACCGCAAAACGCGCGGGTGAAGCCAAAAACGTGTTTGTTGGAAGAGTCCGAGCGAAGAAGGCGCTTCTTTCCACCTGACGGTTGTGTGCAAGCGCCACGGTGGTGCCACTGCCGAACAACCAAATTTTGTAAGAGGAATACGGAACGAATAATAACGGATCCGTGCCAACTTCATTGCCCTCCACACGCCACTGCGCACCACCTTCGAGAACCACCGAGCCGTCCAAGTACAAAAGCGTAGAACCAAAAACCTCCGCGCTGCCAAAAAAGTCGCAGTCCGCCACTCTCAGCAGCCCCGCGGAGCTCACGGTTGTATCCCCCAAAAAATAAACGCCATTAACGGCTCTCATCGTATTATTCTCCACGTCAAAGTAGCCGCCATTCTTCACAGCAACAATGTTAAAATAAATAGCAGTTTCAAAACTGTCAACCCCACCCGTTACCCTCAGCGTATTTCCCTTCACAATGATCCCGCCACCATCAACAACAACAGCATTGATGAAATAGACTGCGTACCCATTCCCCTCGACGTTGTTTTCAAGTACCAGCAGCGTCGAAGTCGCATCAAGAGTAAACTTCGAAAAGGCAACGGCGTGGCTCCACGTCGTCACAAGCGTACTGCCCACCACCAGTATCTGGGAGCTCGCACCAAAATCACCCTCAAACTCCAACGCTCCAGAATCCAACATCGAGGATGTCACGTTCACGTGCACTCGCGCACCACTCCCCTTGATCGACAGGCCTATGAGGACGCACTGCAGCAGCGTGATGTTGAGTGTCTGCTGTGGTGCGTCGAAACGCGACAGGTCCAGCACAATCGCGGCAGTGAAGGTCACATTGACAAAGCACAGACCACGCACACCGGGATCAGGATCGTCTACGGAGCTGATGCTGCCACCGTGCACGCAGCGGACCTCCGTGTCCTTCGCATCGGGGAGCGGGAGCGGCCCAAGGCCGTCCGGAACAGCAGCTGGCAGACACGTGTCGCCGTGGCCGCCAGCAGCGCACACACACTCACAGCCGCTGATGCTGCTCGTCCTCGCCGCAAAGCACACGGCGTCCACGGTGCACGCACCACAGTCCAACACCGTCACGGGCACTCCAATATTGAGGTCGTATTGGTAATTCGTCACAGGTGAGCCCCTTGCCTCGTTGCACACGCCGTAGATGATCGGGCGCGCGTCGGATGGTGGTGACCAGTTGCTTGTCATATTTGCGATGGTCGACGAGTACGAGCCGTACGTGAAGCTGTTGTCAAGTATCGACCACACACTCTGATCGCGGAACGCCACGCCGTAGTAGTTCGTCACGTACACAACGTAGGCGGCGCGGAACTCGTTGTCGCGGTGCACCAGCCAGCTGCCGCCAGTCACGGTCAGCGTGGTTGCCATGAGCATGGCGAAGCCGAGACGGAAAGTGCTGGACACAATCTGCAGCACGCTGCCGCCATCCACAACAACATCCCCAAGCACACACGCGCCTTTGTAATATTCGGTGCTCGGCGCACTCCACGAGCTGTTCTGCACCGAGAACACGGAGCCGCCGCCGACAAGC